TGAGTGTATTTCCGTGTGTGTTTCCGTGTGTGTGTTTCCGTGTGTGTGTCCTTTGCTTTTTCTTGCCTCCATACAGCCCTGAGTCCAGACATCATGACCATATTGCAGGAAATATCTGCCGTATGTCGCTCAGCTTCTGAACGCCCCGAGTCCAAAACAGCTGACTGGATTTTATCGTAGAGGAATATCAGAACAAAAAAAGTTTAAACACAGAACGGGGATGAAACGATTTCAAAGGCGGTAGAGTAAATGTGTTTCTAAATGTAAAGTTGCAATAGACAACGTTACCCTTTTCCCACCGATAGCATTTTGTATTTCTGTTGGTGTGAAAAATACCAGCGTATGACTTCCACTTTGTTCCTCAGAGGAGACTCCTATGCTATAGCTACAACCTCCTAAACAACTTGTTTATATAATCAGATTTGTGCCATTTAGATATAGCAAGGCTTCTCAAAAGTAAAAGGTATAACTTCAGCAATCTGATTCCACTTATTCAGCCCAACAGGGGGGACATCCAAGGGCGATGACGTTGGATCAAAACGTATGACTTTTAACAACTTTTGAGTCGATTTTCTTGCATTTTTTATTGGAAAAGAGTAGACAAAAATACACTGACCACAATGCATTTCGTTTTCCATGCCTTTGTGTCATATATTGAGCCAATGGTGTCATTTTCTCTATAGTTAGTTTAATGTGGAATCAACATTTCCTTCATAATGATCAATCAATCAATCAATCAATGTTTATTTATATAGCCCAATATCACAAATGTTACATTTGTCTCAGTGGACTTTACAGTTTGTACAAAATATCAGTATGACAATACGACACCCTCTGTCCTTAGACCCTCACATCGTACAAGGAAAAACTTCCGGAGAAAACCCACAGTTTAAAGGGAAAAATGGGAGAAACCTCAGGGAGAGCAACAGAGGAGGGATCCCTCTCCCAGGACGGACAGACGTGCAATAGATGCCGTGTGTAAATTGAAAAGATAATACATTTGCAACATAGATAGACCAAATGTTTGGAAATGCATGTGTGTATAATAGGAAGATGAATCCACGAGGATATCCATCCAGGACCTATGATCCAGGACCACAGCCACGACTCAAGATCCAGGGCTCGCGATCCAGGACACAGGACCGCAGGATCATCTGACTCCGGATCCCAGCGTATATAGACACCAAAAAGAAAGACATTTGGGGAAGCTGGGTTAATCGGAACATGAGAGTACACAGGTATAGACAGAGAGAAGGAAGAAGTAAGATGTCCCCCGACAAACTAAGCCTATATCAGCAAAACTAGGGGCTGGATCTAATCAGCCCTAACTATAAGCTTTATCAAAAAGGAAGGTCTTAAGCGCACTCTTAAAAACGGATAGGGTGTCTGCCGCCCGAACACAAACTGGAAGCTGATTCCACAAATGTGGAGCTTGATAAGAAAAGGCTCTGGCTCCCATTGTACTTTTAGAGACTCTAGGAACAACCAACAACCCTGCATTCTTGGAACGCAATGCCCTAGTAGGACAGTAGGGTATAATGAGTTCTTTAAGGTAAGATGGCGCCTGCCCATTAAGGGCTTTGTAGGCGAGAAGAAGAATTTTAAATTCTATCCTGTGTTCTATAGGGAGCCAGTGTAAGGCAGCCAGAACAGGAGTAATGTGGTCCCTTTTCCTAACTCTGGTTAGTACACGAGCTGCAGCATTTTGAATCAGCTGAAGCGACTTGACTGACTTCTTGGTACACCCTGATAATAAAGAGTTACAATAATCCAGCCTTGAAGTAACAAATGCATGGACTAGTTTCTCTGCATCGTTTTGAGGCAAGATATGCCTGATTTTTGCAATGTTACGTAGATGGATGAATGATGAATTCAAGCAAAACAACATGCTTATTGTAATGCAGCGGAAATAGATATAAAATAAATAACCACACATCCCTCAGAGGAATTAACACACCACCTACTTTATCATTGTCTCACACACACACACACACACACACACACACACACAACCATCCACTCATAGTGAAAACGTGCACACTTCCTTGGGATGAGATGGTGGTGTGTTAGTGTGTGTTAGTGTGTGTGTGTGTGTGTGTGTGTGTTAGTGTGTGTGTGTGTGTGTGTGTGTGTGTGTGTGTGTGTGTGTGTTCCAGCTGTTCAGGGAAGCGTCTCTGAGGAGCAACTGTTCACATCTGGATAACAGCTGATGTTTGTTATCGCTCGCTCTCTCTCTCTCTGACAGATGGACGTCGTTTTAAATCAAGCTGTGCAAACAACTCTAATGTAGAAGAGAAAACAATTTTTTATTTGTGTGCAAAGAACTTAGGGCTCGTTTTTTGTTGTGTCATTCAAATGTGTAACCTTGATTCAATGGTGTGAGTTGAAGCTCATATTAAATGTCCAGTGTGTGTGTGTGTGTGTGTGTGTGTGTGTGTGTGTGTGTGTGTGTGTGTGTGTGTGTGTGTGTGTGTGTGTGTGTGTGTGTGTGTGTGTGTAGGACCCTGACAGACCTGCTGAAGCAGCAGGGGGGCGAGTTGAGCTCGGTGGAACACGTTGCGTCCAGTTCGCCAAACGGAGGACGAGCCAACGGAGTTTCAACCCGGATGAAGCGCAGCAGGAGTGGTGAGTACTGACACACACACACACACACACACACACACACACACACACACACACACACACACACACACACACACACACACACACACACACACACACACACACACACAGCTCTGGATGCTGGTGTGACTTTTTTTAGGGAGGGCTTATGGAGGAGAGAGGGAGATGGAACAATAGTTGTCTAAAAGTAGAACACATGCATGTTGCACGTGCAGAAATTGTGTACCACACACACACACACACACACACACACACACACACACACACACACACACACACACACACACACACACACACACACACACACACACACACATACACACACAGTTAATGAGTATGTTAATGTAAGCAGGCTGCAGCCCTACAGGAAGCATGTGCTATTTCTTTACATTCCCTATCACACAGATTTAACACTTTTCCAGGTACATGCAACTCTTAAATGTGAAGAGCAAGAGTGTCATCATGTCTATTCATATTCAGACTGTTTAACTGATCTATACACAACTGACTATGCATGCTCGTGTGTGTGTGTGTGTGTGTGTGTGTGTGTGTGTGTGTGTGTGTGTGTGTGTGTGTGTGTGTGTGTGTGTGTGTGTGTGGATTAGTATGCATTCTTTCCCCTGCATGTGAACATGTGTGTGTGTTTGATATAAAGCCCCCCTGTGGAGTTCATTCTCTCATCTCTGGCTGTGTATAATTTCTCAAGCTGCTAATGATGTGACATAGTGTACGTGGAGAGCTCTTTAATCCAGAGGGCTTCATTGATCAGGTTCAGATTCACGGGTTGTAATAAAAAGGGACGTTTGTTGGATTAATGCGCCACAGAGGTTACTGTTGCTCGTTCCCTATAAATCTATTAAACTGGGATGGAGTGAATGAAAAAGAGGGAGCGATTCTGATCACAGCGTCACCTGAGTCTGTAGCCCCGCAGTTATCAAATCCTTAAAGGTCCCATGTCATGCTTTTCTGGTTATCACCCGTCCCCTTGTGTGTTATGAAGGTTGTTCTGCATGTGAACGGTCTGCAGAGTCAAAACCCTCAAAGTACACCCTGTAGCGAGTAAAACTCTAACACAGAGAAGACCTGTCTGCTGCCCCAGAAGGCCTCGTTGGAGAATTCTCTTTTTCCATTGTTTGCTTCCTGGGTTCAGAGACGTATTTCGGGTATAGTGACGTATTTCGGGTATAGTGACGTAACGTCCGCGGAGCTGGCTCACTGGTGTGGGGTCGGCGAGACAGTGGAACTCAGCCTGGGCACACACACAAACTCCTGTGTGTGTGTGTGTTCGGGCTGGGTTCCGCTGTGTCTCGCTGTCCCGCAGACAGCCACTGGGCTCACAGGGGGGGGGGGCAGGAGCTCCAACAAGCCGTTTAGGACAGAGAGTGAATACACAGACTATACAGAGATGCTGTGAGAAACCAATGTGAGTTTGGAACATTGAACAATGTAAATCTATTCTAGTAGACCTCAACAATGGAATCATGATCAGTAGAAATGGCCGTGACATGAGACCTTTAACATTAAAAGATGTGTTGAAATAAGCTGCATGTCATACTAAATTGGAGAGGAAATATAAATGTATGACCGTTACCAGATCTACGAATATTATCCCATTTGCACCGTCATTCTCCCTACATTTTTTGGAGAAACAAATTTAGAAAAATTGTGGTTTTAAGATGATCCGAAAAAAGACTAGTTGTTTTAACTTTGTTTTGTTCATTCTGCATCTCTTCGTAGTCGTTGGACATCTATTCGAGTTATTTTGGATCTCTGCAGATGTTTTTCCTCTTTTTGTAGACACCTTTTCTGTCTCTTTTGGTTGTTTTGAGTCTCTTTTGTGGGTCATTTTGCACCTCTCTGTGGACATTTGGGGTCTGTGTGTTGTTCCTTTGTGTCTCTTTCTGGTCCTACTGTATATTAAACTATACATAAATCCTTATCAAACATCCATATTATATCCCGTCCAAACTCACCATGACATCTTTTGTGTGGAAGGACAAATGTTCAAACTGGCCTGTGATGTAGAGTTGTAGGAAAGACTGTGAATGAAATCTGGCCCACATTGTGTGAGTATGCAAAATGTTCCCTAATGAGTCACAGGACAAAGTGGAACAGCACATAGATTGGTTTGCAGAAAACAGATGGACAGAATCGGTTTTTCCAAAGCAGAGAAGATTGCGGACAGACTTTGGAAAAACTAACGCACAGTAATTAAACTCATTAGTGCTCATTTGAGGGAAATGTAAAAAATAGAGCCCATTTAACAGAATTTCAAGTTGTTTGGTAAAGTATTCAAATACTGATATACTTCGGTTTCCTATTTTACATTTAAAGCTAGGGTTGGCATTGCATTTATGAATAAAGAGTAAACCATTGGAGTTATTATTGATTATCCAATATAGTTAGAAAATCAGAAATACATAATTGTTTCTGTCTAAAACACTAAAAAGCAACAATATTTAAAACACAATTATGCAAAATATACAAAAACATATTAAATAAAGAGGATATTTAGCTGGAGAATGATTTATTTTACTTTGAAAACATGTTGCTGATATGTGCTTTTACTTAAGTGAGATTTTGAATGTAGGATTTGTATTGCAGTTTTTTAAAATTAAAGGTCCCCTATTATCCTCTTTTTCACAGGTCTCAGATATATACAGAACCTGTCTCTGATTGGCTGAAACACCAAACAGATCATTGCAGCATTACCCATAATCCCCTTTGTTTCAGCCCTGTTTCCAAAGTGCTGATTCTCTGTCTGTTACTTTAGATGAAAACAAGGAGCCCCTCCCCACGCCCCTCTGAGAGACATTTGGTTACAAAGAACTCAATGGTGCTCTAGGAGGAGATTCAGGTGATGGGGGGGGGGTTACCTTGGTTGCTGATTGGCTAATGGTTACACAAGACAACACATCGTTATGACATCATAAAGTCGCCAAAATCTGATCAGCTCATTTTCAGACAGGTTTTTATAGAAATGGATCAAAAAGAGAGAGAATCTTTGTTCCTGAATATATCAGAGTCTCTTTCCACAGAGGGGACACATGTTGATGTAGAAGAGACATGAAGAAGAGGGGACACATGTTGATGTAGAAGAGACATGAAGAAGAGGGGACACATGTTGATGTAGAAGAGACATGAAGAAGAGGGGACACATGTTGATGTAGAAGAGACATGAAGAAGAGGGGACACATGTTGATGTAGAAGAGACATGAAGAAGAGGGGACACATGTTGATGTAGAAGAGACATGAAGAAGAGGGGACACATGTTGATGTAGAAGAGACATGAAGAAGAGGGGACACATGTTGATGTAGAAGAGACATGAAGAAGAGGGGACACATGTTGATGTAGAAGAGACATGAAGAAGAGGGGACACATGTTGATGTAGAAGAGACATGAAGAAGAGAGGACACATGTTGATGTAGAAGAGACATGAAGAAGAGGGGACACATGTTGATGTAGAAGAGACATGAAGAAGAGGGGACACATGTTGATGTAGAAGAGACATGAAGAAGAGGGGACACATGTTGATGTAGAAGAGACATGAAGAAGAGGGGACACATGTTGATGTAGAAGAGACATGAAGAAGAGGGGACACATGTTGATGTAGAAGAGACATGAAGAAGAGGGGACACATGTTGATGTAGAAGAGACATGAAGAAGAGAGGACACATGTTGATGTAGAAGAGACATGAAGAAGAGGGGACACATGTTGATGTAGAAGAGACATGAAGAAGAGGGGACACATGTTGATGTAGAAGAGACATGAAGAAGAGGGGACACATGTTGATGTGAGAAGAGACATGAAGAAGAGGGGACACATGTTGATGTAGAAGAGACATGAAGAAGAGGGGACACATGTTGATGTAGAAGAGACATGAAGAAGAGGGGACACATGTTGATGCAGAAGAGACATGAAGAAGAGGGGACACATGTTGATGTAGAAGAGACATGAAGAAGAGGGGACACATGTTGATGTAGAAGAGACATGAAGAAGAGGGGACACATGTTGATGTAGAAGAGACATGAAGAAGAGGGGACACATGTTGATGTAGAAGAGACATGAAGAAGAGGGGACACATGTTGATGTAGAAGAGACATGAAGAAGAGGGGACACATGTTGATGTAGAAGAGACATGAAGAAGAGGGGACACATGTTGATGTGGAAGAGACATGAAGAAGAGGGGACACATGTTGATGTAGAAGAGACATGAAGAAGAGGGGACACATGTTGATGCAGAAGAGACATGAAGAAGAGGGGACACATGTTGATGTAGAAGAGACATGAAGAAGAGGGGACACATGTTGATGTAGAAGAGACATGAAGAAGAGGGGACACATGTTGATGTAGAAGAGACATGAAGAAGAGGGGACACATGTTGATGCAGAAGAGACATGAAGAAGAGGGGACACATGTTGATGTAGAAGAGACATGAAGAAGAGGGGACACATGTTGATGTAGAAGAGACATGAAGAAGAGGGGACACATGTTGATGTAGAAGAGACATGGAGAAGAGGATTTTGCATAATATGTAACCTTGTAAATACCCTTATATATTTGTATTGGTTATTTTATTTCTTCCAGCACTGCATCAAGTAGTTCTTTTAAACTGTTTATTTATACATGAGCAGCTACCGTTATCTGAGGACAAGAGGCAACATTTGGCCCAAAAGTCTCCAACAAACATGACTCATTGCAGAAAGAAAGCAAAAAAGCGTTGACCTATTTATGAAAGAAGACTGCAGTAGCATGACCCAGTAACAGATCACTCAAAATCACCTTAGTTCCCCCCCCCTCTTTTTAAATTTGAGCTGTCAGGAGGGTTGCTTTTTAAAAACTCTCAAATGTTTTCCCAGCGCTCTCAACTCTCCCCTCGGGTCATGAGAGGGAAACCACTTATTCCTGCAAAACCAATCAGTTTGAATCTTTGCTGCTGGTTTCATTTTGATTATTCTGACAAAAGGCATGAGAAGTCAGCAGAAGATACAGCTAGAGAGT